CTTAATTCATTGAAGTGTCTCTTTGTTATTTGTCTCCACTTTTAATTGTATTTAGACTTCACTACCTTCATGATTTTTCTAACTTTAAACATGCAGCCACTAGTTCTTAGTCTTTAATTTCACATAATTCTATACAGGTATGAATCTTTTTATCATGTAGTTTCAGGATGCTCTATTGCAAAGATTTCACAAATTAGACTCATAACAAAATTTCTGAATGGTTTTGTTCATTGAAAACAATCTGTAAGAAAGTCCTCTCTATGAACCATAGTCTTAAAAGAACATATTTATATTATGCTTGTATATACCACAACTAGGTTTCCACCTGTAGTTTCAGTTTTGCTCTGCAGAGTGTATGCAGCATTACAGTCCTGCTATCATTGTGCAGAATATTTCACAATGCAAGGGTAAAACCTCAGGCCCATTATAAGATAATGTGCTTCTCTCTATTGTTTTTGCTTTCTGTCCAAGTCATTAAATTTAATTTCTTTGTGATGAAAATAGCCTGTTTTCTGGATCCATATGAAGGCTCACTGGTCACGACGTAGGTCTATGCCCCAGTTATCCATAAGGCTATTGGACTCTGCAGTTTTCATATTTGAGACCACTAGCACTTTGAAAAGGTACTGCTGGGGGTATTCTATGTTATATCCAACATAAATCATGACTTATTTATTTTAAGCTCCTCAGAAAGGCACTTGTGAGCACTGAAGGTTGGTTCCACTCCTGAACCATATGTGTAAGGTTCTCAACCTTGTTCGCCATAGATGAAGGAAAACTACAATAAAGAAATGATAACAGAGATTAGATACTTGTGCATTTAATATGCTGAAGACAATCTACTTGGTTTTAGTGCTCAGTATGTGTTCTAGTCAGCTGTGGTCCCTGCTCTCATCAGCTTGCCTTCATTATGGGAATTTTTTTAGTGCAACAAAATTAGAATAGCTGTGATTTCATTTAGGGCAGAAGTTTCTCAGGCTTAGGGAAAGCAGAATACGGACTCCTCTGCTCAATGAGAGCAATTTAAAATGCAAGCAATGTAGTTTCCTTCCAGAGGAGACTGCTTTGTTCTGGGAAGAAAATTTCCTCTATCGTGCCGCTTGAGTGCAACCTTTTTTTGGACAGTTGAAATGTTAGGCTTTCCATGGCTGGACAGGATTTCTCCCTTGCTATCAGAATAGGTGTGAGAGGCATGGAATTTTTTTATATTTGTGTTGTTTGTTTTTTTCCTTGTTCCAGTTCACTCAACAGTCAGTAAGAACACTTTGATAGCTTTAATTTCAGATATTTGTCTTATTTGGGTTGTATTTTCCTGATAGACAGCACTTGGATGTGAATGAGGTACAGAAATACTCTAATGTGAGGTGGAAGATTTCAGTATCTCATAGAAGAAATACATAACTGCCAGTTTCTTCTCCATTTATCAGGCAATTAATTTCATACACTGTGGGCAGGTCTTACTGTTGGTTCTTTTTTCTTCGTAGTCTTGGACACAGTGATGATGCCTGCTCTCCAGCCACCTTATTACCTTGAATTACAGTGCAGTATACTGCTTACAGCTTTGGCACACCTAACCAGTTTCAAGAGCCTTAGAAAAAGTGCAGCTATCCCAGGTTAGCATGACTAGCATGAGTAGTACTCTCTAGTACGTGTTACAGTTTGCACTGAGAATGTCTGGATCTGAACAATTTGTTGCTTGATAGTTCAGATGATTTATTGATGCAGGACTGAGTTGATCAGCCTCTGTCTCTATATACCTGCAGTGATGAGCAGCTGTGTGACTGAGTGATAATTAGTCCAGGAGAGTTCATAGAGGGTAACCAGAACCACCTACTCATGCAAGAGTGTGAAATCAAAAGACACTTCTCAACATTCTACACTAGTTTCTACAATAGTTTTCAGATGTCAAATGTAGAGCACCAGCATGCACAAGATAATATTGCTACTTAGAGAGGTTGTGGCTATATAAATTGTATAGATTTGAAATAGTTAGTCTAACTAGTTCTATATAGAAAATAGTCACACTGTTTGCTTTTCTTTTTGCTTCCTGTAGGAAAGATTTTTTAATATTTTTTTTTAAAAAAGTCATCAGCCATAAAATCAGAAGAAGCTTGTAAAAGCATGAAAATCCACCGATAGTGTTGGATGTGTAGCATTTGCTGTACTTGCTGCTGTATTCCTAAATAAGACAGAATTTTGCTAGATTTTCCTAGGCAGGACTGAATTTCGTCAAGTTTTCCAGACACATCTATGGTAGAATGCAGGAAGTCTGGCCATTAGCGATGTTTTCAAATCAAGAAAATTTTGGACTTGGATGGCACTTCAAGAAATCTTGTGTATCAGTTTCCATCATTTAAGACTGATAGTGTACCAGCCATTGCTAGGATATCCCTAAACATGTTGATCTACTGCAAAAAAGCCTTCAGCCCCTTCTGTGGCTGCATACATGCACACACACACATTCAGATATACATACATACATATATATATATATAGATTGGGGCAGTATTAGGGGTTGTTTTATTTGAGGGTTTTTTCAATGGAATTTTTTCCTGAAATCACCCTTGGCAATGCAGACCATCCAGGTGCTGAGCTGTCTGAAGACGATAATCTCAGACTTTGCATGTGAGCCTTCTCCTTCTGTATCTTTATTTGTGTTTGCTTTTATTGAAAGCATTCATTAGGTTAAGTCTATGGCACACTAGATTGAACACTCCCATTTTTAAGGCTGTGTTGCACTTTATTGTTTATTTATTTTATTAGGGTGGTGCATAAAGCGTCAGTTAGAATGACTATCCCATTGAGATGGGCTGTGGAAAAAATGAGTAAAGGTTTATTTCTGCTCTGAAGACACACAGCCTAAATAAATGAGAGAGAATGGAAGAAATAGATGCAAACAGATGTAAAAAGGGTAGACTTTCACAAGTGGTTAAAGTATATTTTCTGCATAGGAGTTTTTATCTTCCAAGTTTTCTTTTAGTCATTTTAACAGTGAGTAGAGGCCTAAATTGAGAGTTAAAACCAAAATTTCTATGTTGTAGTCTGTGTTATCATTATGCTCACTTTAATGTCGGTACAACATTAGCCTTTGAGACTGCAAGAACTTAACTGCTTTCTTGTTGGTGTTACACTGCAGTCGATTTCGGTGAACCATAAAAAGTTTGCCCCTGAAGGTAAAATTACACTGTATGCATGTTCCAAGCATACTGCTTTGGGGATAAACATGTCTTAAATCAACTTATCGCTCACAGCTGAATTCCTTCTCCAAATGCAGTTTCTGTGTAGATAATAATGTTCAGAAGGACTGATAATCTGTAAACCATAAAGTTTTTTTAACATAAGTCTATCAATAAATGTATTTGACCAGGATCAGAAAGAATTCTTATAATCCTAATGAAGATTTTGGGTTTTAGAGAGAGGAAAGGAGGAGCATATAACAACATTTTTAATTAGCTTTCATCAGCACTTCCAGTTTGTTCATATGTGTTCCAAACATTTGCATATTATGTTTCCTCACATTAACATAATGAAAACTTTTGGACTTTGTTGAAATTTCCTTTTGTAATTGTGCATTTGGAAAATTTAATTTGAAGTTTATGACACCCTGGCTTCCACTTGCTTGGATGATAGTGTGTAGTTAAGATGCCATCACTTTAAACCTTTGTACAGTGATACTTCTGTTGGGGCTTAATATACTGTGAATTCAGATGTATTTGTGATGTAATTGTGGCCTTGAGGTGTTAATCTAAAGAATACCATCTGGATGATATTCTTGTATTCTTGTACCCATGATATTCTTGTATTAATATTCTGAGACTTAGACCTTGTCCTGTGTGGAATTTAAATACTGTTCCCTGAGCTTTAAAGAGAAGGCAAGCACCATTTCAGCCTCTTAAATGAATTCTTTATTTTACCTCTGTAATTTGCCTTTTGTTTTCAAACTCTTATAGCCATTGAAATCCAGGCAGTAATGTCCACACCATTTTTACAGCTTCAAATGGATGAAGTACCTGTTTGTTCCTCAGTTTAATTCCCAAATTAATTATAGTTAGAAAGTACTTAATCTGCATCTTCATTTTTCTTAGAATATGTAAGGGCAGAAAAAAAAGTCCCTGGATAGGAGGTAAGAATTTGAAATGTGAATAACTTTGTTACATTCAAGAGGGCAAGTCTTTTGTTGCAACAAGATTGATTTTTGTGTGGCTTGTGGGTTTTGTAACTTTCTTCTTTTCTGGTGGGTTTTGGTTTGTTTTGGTTTTGTGGTTTTGTTTGGGTTTTTATGTTGTTTTTGTTTGTTTGGGGTTTTTTTGTTTGTGGGCTTTTTTGGTGTTTTGTTTGGTTTTTGGTTTTTTTCTTTCTTAATTTTGTTCCTTTCTGAAGTGATACCTTTAGTTTCAGGATTGAAATTTCAGTTTTATTCCTCTATGGAGAAAACAGACATAAACTCCTGCATAGTGGGTAATCTGTATGGGGTTTTCTTCTATTCAGCAATCTTTGATCCATACCTCCCCTGTTCAGTAAGTAGAAATGGCAAAGTAACTTAGCTGAGGGTGGCTACAAATCTGCTTTCCATGTAAATCATGAAGTGAACCTGGAGGGGAGAGAATTCCAGAAATCTGCTAGTAGACAAAATGCTTTAAAAGTATTTCTTTCAAAGAGAGCCTTTCTTCTACCCCCCTGAGTATATATTAATTGGTTATAAACCTTAGTTTTGAGGTTGTTATTCACCTAATTGTGCACACAATAGGGCATGATGGATTCACAAGTACAGTTACCCTTCCATTGTGCTGGCAAGAAGTCTTTTCTGTGAAACAGAGAGAATTTTATGTCTAAGCTCCAAGTTCTATAATTAGTTACACAGTAGAGGATTCAGGAAAGTTGCAAAACATATACAAGTCGTAGAAGTTTAACCAATTAGCCTTTAAGTTGTCTTCCTGCATATGTCATTATTGTACATGTTTTAGTTTCTGGTGGCATTCTATTTTTTTCTTTTCTTCCAGATCATTACTAAATACATTTATGAACTACTGCAGAACGAATGCCACTTGAAGAAAGTAACTCTTCCAGTAAGTATAATTTATTTTTCCAAGGGCATTTGTTTTTTGAATCTGTACCCAGCATAGCCTGTGATCCCATATTCATATAAAGACAAGGTGTGCCAGGGCTCTGTGCAGGGCATTGTTTCAGGACACTGCCTTTGCGATTTGCATCTGGAGATGTGGTTCCACCTCATTTCTCATGTGTTTGATTTCTCCAACTGAGCCTTCCTTACCTTACCACATACCAGAATTTTCAAAATGTGGTGCTTTTAATAGGAGCACTATAAGCTTTCAGAAAAAGTATTTGTGGGTATTTTGAGATGTCTACAGATGTAGAGAACAGAAGTGTCTTTGCAGGCAGAAGACTACATTCACATTCAATATCAGTAAAATACTCAAAGTCATTTTTTAAAAAATGCTTTTTCAGTAATTTGTAATATGCATGTAATATAAAGTGCTTTTGTCACTTAGTGAAAATATTTAATCAACCCTTGGAAAAGATTAAGTGCTCCCCCACATATCAAAGTGTTTATAAATATATGTGATGTGATATGATGATGTTCAGGTATTTTTATATTGGAGAGCGCAGGGGAGACTGGAGTGTGACAGCACTATGTAGATTTTCCATCATTATGAAGGATTATTCCTATGCTCTTTGAAATCTTTTGAATTGCTGTCATTCTCAGAGGAACCTTCATATTCAGTCAAGGAAAACCTGTTTAGGCTATGGAAGGAAAAGGTCTTTTGCCTTAACAGTTCTGTAAGATTTCACTATTCCCATTTCCATTCCCTGAATGTTGCTTAGGGAATGTTTTGATGACCTGACCAAACTACTTGTAGTTTCCTAGAAGGACTTTTTCAGTGTTTCATGGTCACAGCAGAAGGAGCTGAGCTACAAGGTTCCCAGAGAAATCTAAGGGAATATCCTAGCCTGGTGCTTGCACCAATGCCCTGCGAGCCAAGACTGAGATACCATTTCCCCACTTCAGATTTTTCTGTGTAGACAGACATAGGATTGGGTTCATCATGCCAATCTGCCTGGTGCAGTGCTAGTTATGATCTCCACCTTTTTGGCGGATTTTCTTTCTTGGTGAAGTTTTGGTCCAAAAAGTACTTCCAGAAATATAATGTATCAAAAAACTTCTCAAGCCATGTCACAGTTCATCTGTGACACTGTGAAGCTGTCTTTTATAAACTTCGAATCTGCATTTTAAGGCTATAGAACTTTCTTTGATTCTTAAAAAATAATATGAAGAATATGCGTGTAAGTAGGGCAGTGGTAAAGCTGGTCAATTAGCTCCCAAGCATGAAGATGAAGAAACTCGGGATAAGTATTACAGTACCTCCATCACCTATGTCACACCTGTGGTGATTCATCTGTGTGGCTCTAAGGTTTAGGTTTCTTGGCTTGGAAGACAAATGGTCCTGGCAAGTTCCCACTTGTGGATTAATCTCTTTACTTGTATTTAGAAATTGTGTAGTGACAATGGACACAGTTGTTCAGTAATACAGTTAAGCTATTCTCAAATGTATTACTTTCAAGTTCTGTGAAGTGTCATAATTTAATTGCATTTTGGAGCCAAAGAGGAAAGCACAAAATCTGCAGGTGTCTAATTGTGAGTGTTGTGGAAAAAATCTCATGAGGTACAAGTACTGTTCTTCGGGAATGGCTGTTATGTGTAGCCAGCCCTCACCATCAAAAGTAAGTTACAAAGGCATATACAAAAGTGAAAAATTGAAACAAAGTATCTGGAAGTTGAAAAATTAAAGCTGTGTAAAAGCTGGGTTTAAATCACCACTGACAGATTCCCAAGTAAGGACACAGAACCCTCTAGGTGAAACTAGTAAAGGAAACTAGTAAAAGTAATAAAACAGCTTTTAGGATGAGAATAGAAGCGAGTATAAGTATTGGTAAGTTACAGGAAATTCAGAAAAAACAAATTTGAGGATCGTGTTAGAGTTGTAAAGACTAATAATAAAAGAGAGCTGATAAGGTCAGTAGATGAATTGCAGCTAAAATGAATACAAAGGTCAAATGAGAAAAACTAACATAATTAATTCCAATACTACTTGTCCAATATCCACACACTTAACTATCCTAAACAGGATATAATTCTGAGCAGCTGTCTGAAATTTGTCATATCAATAGAGGAGACCTGAGGACAAGTTAATATATTGTACAATAAACAAATTCCAGGGTGGGATTTTTTTTAAACCTAGGATTCTATAGGAAATCAAACATGAAGCTGCAGAACAGCCCATTTATGTTTAACTTAGTGCTGAAATAATAATAATAATAATAATAATAATAATAATAATAATAATAATAATAATAATAATAATAATAAGGAAAATTAGTACAAGTTTATTTTTAAAAAATCCAGAACTCATTGCAGGAGTCAGAGATCGCATGGAGAAGAAAAATCTTGTCAGTAAAAGAGTACAGATATTTCCAGTGAACTGTCAACAAACAGATGCTTTTTAAAAGTACAGGAGAAGGTACTCTCCTTTAAAGTTAATTGGTTAGAAGGGGAGAAAGGTGTTCATATTTTACATATGAAATAAACTGTTACCAGGTAAATGCTGCTAAGAGCTGACACAGCTGTAAGCAAAAGGAAAAAAGGAATTAATACAAGCTAAAAAACTTCTCTGTTTTTTTTCTAAAATTATTTGGGATAGTTAAATCTAAAGCTGATTATGATGACTGGGGAAATTATTTATTCATGCTGAATAACTGGATGATTAAATGACAGGATATTCAATTCTGGTAAATATGAAATTATGGGGAAGATAACTCACTCTGTAAACACAACAGTGGCCTCTAAATTACAACTCAGGAAAGAGCTTGGAGTGATTGTGAGTAGTTCTCTGAGAACATCAGTGAGTGCTCAATGGCAGTCAAAAACCCTCAAAGCAAATAGGATGTTAGGAATTACGAGGTATTGAGAACAAAACAGAAAAACATCGTCATTCCACTCATTATATGGGCCCTCATGTTAAACACTGCATGAAGTCTGGACACCATATCAAAAAGGATATGAAGAATTAAAAAGAAATACAGAGGAGGATTGCAAGGATGATCACAGGCGTGAAATTCTTTTCAGACAAAGAAAGATTAAACAAAGATTCTTTAGCTTGGAAAATAGATGGCTGAGGAAGGAATATGACAAATCTATAAAATCATGAAAGGTGAAGGGAAGATGAATAGGAAATGGGTTTTTGCTTTTTTCATAATAGAGAACCTAAGGGGCATCAAGTTTAAATTATCAGGCAGGAGATCTCTACTGAAAGAGACAGTATTATTTCATATATGTCCCAATTATATTGTGGAACTCATTGCCACAGAATACTACCAAGGAGAGAAGCATAAATGCAGTCAAAAAAACCATTTGACAATATTAAGGTGGGATAGGTGCCTTGAACTGTTTAACGTGCATGCCCAGTTATATAAACTGTGGCTTCAAGGTTCCAAAGTTACCAGCTGTCGAAGCCAGGCAAGAATTACTCTGTAACCACTGTTTTTACTGTTTCTCTATGCAATCTGCCAGTTGTAGAAACAGGACCCTGGACCTTGGTCTGACCAAGATGGCTTATATGTGTGTGTATATACACACACACACACACACACACACATATATATATATATATACACACACAACTTTTTTATGTGCATATTTTTGAGATGAATACAAAAAACTTTTTTCTTTTAATTTCATCACAGGTGATCAGAAAGTTGTTGTATTGGTTTTCCTTTTTCTGTGAGCTCATAATGAAGCTGGCAGTCCTGTGTTTTTTGAGTATTTGAAATGTGTTTCAGGACTCTGTTAGGTGGAGTGGGCTTTTTTCCAGCATGATTTTAGTAGGGAATGGAAATGTTAGTTTCAAAGGTTTAGCATGATGGCGTTTTTTCTTCCGTAATTTCAACTTTGTGTGTAAAGTCCAACTTGCTTTGTCATTGTTTTGCTTTCTTAGGTGGCAACTTCAGTTTGGGATACAAAAATTAATTAATTTGGTGTCAGATACGAAAGTAAGAACAGTTGGCAGATCAGGAGAGCTTGCCCATTGTTGTATTATGCCAGCATCTTCAACTGAACAATTCTGAACATTTTTTCCTACACAGGGAGGCCAAGATCCATGTTGAACTATTGTTACTGTAAAGCACTGTACTTCTAATAATGTTCAACAAGTACTACTGGACATGAACATTTTAATAAAGAGTCTCATATTAAGGGAGAGGCCATTCAGTTACTGCTTCTAAAGTTTTATTTTGCTCTCCATTGAAGGTTATGTTAGTAGTAAAAAGAAGACAGCAATTTTTTTAGCCAGATGGAGTATTTGTATTTCTCTAGTTTTAGTGGCATAATCAGTGATTGATCTTTGCTCTTCTTTAGCTGTTGAGGGCAAGTGGAGTGTGCTTCTAAATTAACTGCATCTTTAACAGCTTCTGGGGAAGCCTGAGATGGAAGTTTAAATAATTAGTAACATGTAGTGGTCTTAAGCCTGGCTGGAAATTAAGCACCATGCAGCTGCTTGCTCAACCCTCCTTTTACTTCTCTGAACACCAGTGGAATGGGGAGGAGAATCAAAATAAAATTTGTTAGCTGAGATAAAAACAGTTTAATAACCTAAAGTGACGTAAAATACTGTGATAATGGTAAATGATAAAAATAACACACAAAAAAAAATGATGTGCAATGCCAGATGCCAGACTCCAGATTCCCGAACCTAGATTGGCCATGCTTCTAGGTAACTCCCCCTAGTTTATATTTTATATCCTGGGCATGGTATTCTGGGGTGTGGAATATTCCTTTGCCAGTTCAGGGCACCTGTCCCAGCTGTGCTCCCTCCAAGTTTATTTTGCATACCTTTTCACTAGCAGAGCATGAGACAAGAAAAGGGAGGTCCTTGATTTTGGATAAACACAACTTAGCAGAAAACCAAAATATCAGTGTTATACCTAAATGTTATCAATACCATTCTTGTTCTGAAGCCAAAACACTGCATTTTATCAGCTACTGAGAAGAAATTCACTCTATCCTAGCTGAAAACAGAACACATGTTTAGTTGGCAATGGCACTGAAATGTCTCACTTCATAGAATCTTCTCAGTTATCAGTGCTTTCCACTTTCACTTCAATAGGTAAAAGTTCATAGAAGAATTATTTCTTAGTTTTACATTTTAGATTGAAAAATTCTAAATCGGGATTCTCAATACTGTGAAGACTTTAACTAAAGCAAGTTAGTGAGGTTTATGGTGAAACACACAGAACTTTTCATCTTGGGAAGCAAATGAGCAGATTTTTCTCTCCATCAGCTGCTCACAATTCTCACAATCTTTTTTGAGTCTTATCAGTTTCAATTCCACTTATTTGCCATGTTCTTCCTCCAGCTACAGTTTATACCTACTTTGTAGGCTCAAGGCTCATAATTTTTGTCATGTTTCTCAACTGAAATAAGAAAAATACTTAGTAAGAAAAATAATTGTGGAAGAAAAGTACTTATGGATTTTCTTCCCTTTTCAACATTCAATCTTATAAAACTCCAATATATAGAATAAAGACTCCTGCTCCTGGAACCCTGTCAGCTCTCATAGATCTTGGGTTAGTAAAGGCTAATTGTTGATGTCGTAGCGTGGATGACAATAAGAGTAGATTTCAAGCATCTGTATATTCACAACAGCTGTGCATAATACTAATTAGTGTGCTGCTGAAATATTTTATTGACTGGTACTACTGTGTAGGGGAAAACTCATTTGAGACAGAAATCATACGGAAAAAGGCAGTTCACTGTTTAAAAACATTAAGAATCTCATAATATATGTAGAGATCTTACCATAGCTGCCTACATTCATAAATTTTAAGGAATTATTATGCATTGAGAAAAAAGTCGAAGAAAAAGAAAATTAAACTGTAGTTTTAAACAGTAAATTATCATTATAATTTAGATAGGTTTGGCATGCCTAGCTACAGATTACTGGAATTATTTTCACCTGTAAATAATAATGTTGAATGAAATTGTTAAACTAATCTAAAAAACATTTTCCTGTATTTATTCACTTTAGATTTAAGTGATCAGAAATCAGTGACATTGAGTAGGTCCAGAGGAACAAGTGGCTAATAATTGTAAAGTATTTTATGTGGCCTCCATGTGTCTGGCATTAAATGGTGCTCCATGTTGATCTGTCAGTAAAGTAAGATTGTGTATAGGAATGATATTTACATGCATTCTTTAGTGAAAGCTGGATCTAATAAATTACTGCTGTTTGAAGGTAAATTAGCTCAACAAAAAGTCTCTAACTATGTTTAGTTTTGGGAAAAGACTTAAAATTATTTTTTTATGATCTTGGTAGATATTTTTTGCTGTTTTTTAAAATTAACTTATTTGCAGAAATGGTAACTAGCTATATCTTCTAGTACATATGACCACTAAGTGCTGTTAATTCCTATATACTACAATATAAACTTTGGCGCTTATAAGATAAGTGATATAAGTGCTAAAACCTACTAAACTAAACCTATTAGTCTGAAATGCAAAATTCACTTTTTTCTTCCCCAAGTATAGTGTTGTAAATATTCACTTCGTGGGTAGAAGTCAATTACATATTGCCAGATACTATCTGAGATTCAGTGTTGGCTGACTTTTTACCTGATCTGTTTCAACTTTTAAGGTGTCAGTACTGCTATTTCAGAAGCAGCAGCATGATCTGACTGTAGCCCCAGTGTTTTCAATAGCACATACTCTTTATCATATTCTCTATTTTTGCACAGTGTGAGAGAAAGTGAGTGCATTTCCTCTGCAAACCCTGAGGCATGTGAGATGTTACTTTATTTTGGAGCAGGGGAATAAGGTCTTCAGTGTGATGGCAAATACTGAAGAGAGACATGACTATTCTTTCATTTGCAAATTTATTTTGTTTAAGTGGCCTCATTGACTTAATTTAAAAAAACATTTTGTTGGGTTTACATTAAAAAAGTCTGAAGATGCATGCAGAATTAATTTTTCCTACTATAAGGGTAGTTAAGAATACATACCCATATATATGAGAAAAAACTACCAAAACTAATCCAAATAGCCAATTCCTTCTTTCTCGACATGGGGATCATAACCTGATCTGTGTTTCTTCTCTGTTGCAGAGTGTTCCTAGCAGCTGGACAGTTTTAGGCTGTGGGGGTGGAGGGGTGTGGAGTATAGTAGGAGTGGGAGATGTGCCTGTTTTGTTCTTTCTGTTCTGTGTATTCATATAGTAGAAGGAGAAGAAGCAGGTTTGAGAACATGAGGATTTGTTTTGCCCTCATGGTGTTTACATCAGGACAGTTCTTTTGTCTTGAGACAGGGTTGCTAAACCAAGTGTAAAAACTTTAGTTTGTAGTGAACAAAAAGTGCTGCTTTATTCTCTTTAAAGACAAAATGTACTATTAGATTGCAATTTGCTGAATATCAAGGCTAATTGTTGGTCTCTTCCTACCGCAAAGTAGCTAAGCATTGACCCTGGTACAGAGGACTATTAATGAAGCTATTATTTAGAACCAAATGGGATTTGTATATTTTAATGGACCTGTCCTATTAAATTTGTAACAGACAAATTTATAGTACTGGTTCCTATACGTAGCTTATGAAGTATGTATGTTGAGGTGGCTGATTTGGAGCTCTCCAGGCTTTATTTTCTTTTTCTTACAATGTAAGAACTTTTTGTTGCTTCAGGCATATCAGAGGTGAGAAATCACTTACTCCCTTCCTTCTTGCCCCCCCCAATTGCTCATTTATGGACTTTCTTCCTTTCCTATAATTTTTGTAAACAACTGATGTTTCAAAGCTTTAGCACACCTTTTACCCCTTTTCTTAATTTTAAATGTCCCTTGGAATGCTGTTCTAAAATTTGGTATGTTTATGTATTTCAAAGTTATGTTGCATATTTTGCTTTATTTTTATTTAGTCCTGGGCACACATGCATTGAAATGGTTGTTTAATGGTGAATGTTTTAATATAAATTTGGTAGATAACTTTGTAACTAACAGTGTTCTTTCAAAGAATTATATTGATGCATTAAAATGTGTGTTGTCTGTAATTGCAGGTTGATGCAATTGAGACTGAACCAAAGAGCTTTATCTTTATGAGTGAAGATGCATTAGTAAATCCTGACAAGCTGTTGGTCCTAATTCATGGTAATGGCGTTGTTAGAGCTGGTCAGTGGGCTAGGAGACTTATAATTAATGAAGATCTGGACAGTGGGACACAGATACCATACATAAAGAGAGCTATTGAGGTAAGTGAAAGTTCAGGATGCAAAAAGTGTGCTGTGGATGTGCGTGTGTGCATGTGCATGAAGAACTGTGAACCTGTGGTGTTTTAATTTTTTAATCCGTATTCTATATGTTACTGTGTGATCATTGTATTTGTGATGGGAATACCTTTTTTGTTTTGTTGGAACTTTCTTCTGGTGGAACCAAGTTCCTGTCTTGCAGTAAAATAAAATTTAGTTGCATGTCGTTGCTGTGTTGGGCATGCCATGTAGTTTAATATGGCAGATACTATGACAAGAGTCCTTAGTAGGTGATGCAATGCAGCAGGAGGCAATACGGAAATTTGTTATAATTTAGATTGTTTTCTTTTATATTTAATTTAATTTGTACATATTATTGCTCAATGACTGCTGTAATCTAATGGTAACATGAAGTTTCATGATAACATGCAGTGTTTTTACTGGGCTTGTAAATATATTGAATTTATTGAAGATACTGTCTTTTTCAGAGTTGCACTAAATACTAGCTCATTTTGGTATTTACTTATCAATATTTGACAATTGAAGACATTCACATGTTGTTGACAGTATTTTGTTAAATCTATTTGAGAGACAGTGGACAGTTTGTGTTATGTTTTTGTCATTGGAACATTGCAGGAGTAATTAATCATATGTGCCCTACTGCCTAAAGGAAACTTACTTAGTAGTAAACACTAGAAGAGCTTTTTTAGGACTCATTGTTTGTATTATATTTGCCAAGTTAAGCTAATATTCTTCTCTAAATATCAGTGTTGTCATTGTTACTGTTACATATTTTGCTAAGTGATTAATTTTTGTGATTGATGGATAATTTTTGCAGCTGTCTTTAAAGTATTCAGGATTAAAAATGGTGCTTGTTTCAATAAAACAAAGAAAGACAACATATAAAAACATTAGGCCATTAAGTTATTTTTTGTTTCTTTCACTCACTATCAAAGCACCAGACTATACTTCATGAGAAAAAGAAACCTAGCCCTGTGAAAGTGAGGCTTATCTTTTCCTAACATTGTTTTTCATTAATTTAAATCAAGATTCAGATAGAGACAGAGCAAAAAGTACCTCAGGATTATTGGATGCATTACAATAGGTCCAGTATGGTAGGTCCAGTATGGGACTTCTAGTGCTGGTTCCAAAACATTTCCCAAGAAATCCAAATAGCTGTAGCTACTTCAGTTTTTGTACAGTGCTTACATATTTGCGTTTTTGTTCGTTCTTAGAGGTGCTGCTGCCTTGGGCAAAATGAGAGACCGAGTATTTCAAACTGGGATACTAACACTTATTTAACAGATCATTTTAAAGCGTCATTTCTAGTTGAGGAGATTTTTTTTCTCTTTTGTTATTTTTATTTATTTTGTGCAGTGATGTGTGCCAGTATGACAGAGATCAAACCTCTGTTTTCTCAAATGGCTGTTATACTTAAAACCAGACTATTTATCTCCACATTTTGAATGCTTCTTTAAAAAACAATACAAGATAAGTCCCAGTTGTTGGGTGAGAAAATGTTTTTACAAAAATGTAATAATTGAATAACAATGGTATGTCAAACTTTGTGCTCTTATCTTTGAGTTTTTCCTTAATATGGTTTTTAAATTTGTAGTTCTCTTTAGTTCAGTAATTCCAGTTACTGTAAAACTAACTGTCCCTTTTTGTGCACCTTAAAATTCTGATAAGTGTACTACATGCTTAGGACACATACTATTTACAGTGACTTTTTTTGTATTCAGTTGTGTTAAGTCAAATTCAGTTATGTCATTAAATGTGTTGCTATCGTTTTGTATCCTGTAATCCCTGTACAAGGAATTGGTTGTGTGTCTGGTTAGATAAGGCAATATTTTATGGAAGTTGGACCCCACTGAAAGTATTTAGAATCATTTGGTTTTGACTAAAAAGTGAGTACATATATAGATACAAGCTGGGGTATCTGTGTCAGCTTAAGACACAGATCATATAAATTACATTTCTAAATGCAGAAAGAGGTAGAGTGTAGAGGCAGGTAGCGTGTAAGGACTCCATATGATAAAAATAATGGTAAAAATTGCATCCATTTCTGGTATTCAGTCCTCTAGTTGATTTAGTCATGTCACTTACGAAATGCAAATAACTAGCCTAGATGGTAAATAGCCTGAATGAAAATTGTGCTAATCCCTCATGCAACATTATTTGAAGGAGGGAATTATTTTCATAGATCTTTCTGTGTTTCTTCTAAGGAGAGGTCTCATTCTTGAATGAAGCCAGCAGACCTTACCAAAGCATCAGTGCTGGTGACAAGAGAGCATGGATTTTTTTTTTTCTAATAGACTTTTGTGAATTTGAAGTGGATAATGATATGTAGGATTTGAAAATTCCCATGATCTAATGTGACTTAGCAACACATGCAGACATTGCAGCCAGCTTAAAACATTTGCTGAAGATAAGGTTCTAATTAAAAAAATTAAAATTGAGAATTACAGATGTAGTGCTTGAATGTCCTATGTGCAGGAGCTAATTCAGAAATACCTGCTTTTCAAAAACAAAAAATGCACACAAGCAAAAATCCACCCTCTAAGTAGGCCAAACCTCACAACTTTTCTGCTTTTTTCTTTGCTTCTCTTCTCAGTTCAATTCTTAGAAAAACTGAAAACAGGGATGTAGCAGCTGGGGTTATCAGTGAGCAGCGGATTGAGGAGGATGAACTGATACTTCTAAACAGGAAGTTAAGGGAAGAGTAGAAACTATTTCTCTCTGATGCACACTTTTGAGGAAAAAAGAATTAAGAAACCTCACTTCTGAAGCATGTGTGGAGCAAGGGAGCAATGTATGGACTTAAAATTTTGTATTTTAAAATTCTGGTATTTTGGAATTCCTGCAAGTTACAGAGAAAAGATTCGAAGAGAAAAATCCTGGTGGGAATTCAGGTAGCTAGAAATATGTTTTTCTTTTCATCTGTGCAATTCCTGTAGGTAATGCTTCTTGTTCCGTGTTTTATATCTAGCCCTATTGTGTATATTCAATCTTTTGTGTTAGAGGTATTGTGACTAGTTGACAAGGGTTTATGTGAAGAGATAGCATTATTGTGTTAATTTGAAAATTCAAACTTGATAGTGTAAAAGAAATGTTGAAATATGAATGAATATGAAGAGAACAAATAAGCTACTAGATAGAGAACAGACTGTAGAAAAAGAAGGAGGGAGAAAACTGTACATAATGTGGAAAACACATTAAAATGTGGTAGGACAAAACCTGTTTTAGAAAAACAAGTATGAAGAAGAAAAATATGCTAGTAAGGCAGTGAGAATGTAACAAAAGCTAAATTAAAACAAATACTAACTAAAAAGATATTTAAAACAAAAGAGACTGTCAATGTCCTGTAAATACAGTACAAAAATACTGCATAGATTTGCTATTTTGTTAAAGTAGAAATTTTCTACTGAAACTTTCTCTCAAAAAACTGATTTTTGACAGAAACCGTTGTCTGATGCATGAGAGACAGAAGTTCAAGTCCCTCCTCCCTGGGAATGAGCAGACTATTCAATTTATAATGAGAATTCTGCTCTGAAGATATTCCACTTTTTATAAAAAAATAATTGTAAATTATATAAATAAATAAATGTAGATTAAAAGACTAATTTTAATCTGCCTGTAATATATTTGGCCTAAATGGCTTATCCAGGTTTGTACAGTGAGAGTCTTCTCAGATCAGTTATTGTTTAACCATGCATACAGTAACTGAAGTAGTGTCAGGAAAAGGTGATGAAAGACAGAGGCAAATTCTTCAATTTAATGAGGAGGTCATATACTTGGGATGTCAAGAATGAAACATTTTATGGTCCTGGTTTAATAATGGCTGTTGAGGTGCTCCCTTGTTCACTTTGTTAGAGAAGGAGAAGCTGAAGTTGTTATACTTAGAGAGGAGATTGTTCACTGGAGAAGCAGAAACTCAGCTTGCCCTGGTTGGACATAGTGAAGAGTTTGGGAGTACTACTGTCTTTGATACCTCTCCTCTAGGGAATATCAGCTTACTGCATAAGTACAGAGAAACACTGGGTGTTTTTTGAGTCTTTGAAAATTCAGTACCTTTATTACCTGTGATAGCTGTGGTTGCAGAGATGCTAATAAAGTTCAACCACAGCAACTGTCACGTATTTATTAAAGAAAAATTAAAAGCCATCAAAGAATTGCTGCCATATATAAAATTCAGTTATTAAGGTATCTTAGATTCTTGTATTATTATTTAAAGGAGAATTGATACTTGACATATAGCTGGAAAATAGGTTCTTCAAAGAACCTGGACGAGTTTTTCAGAAGAAATAGAGCAGCACCTAAAAATCTAACTTTATATGAACAAGCAAAAAGCCAAATCTTTGCATCAGATGGGTGTTAGCTGTGGAAATGTTTCCTTAATAACTGGTAAAACATGGTTTTCAGCTTCAGTTGTCTGTTGTGTTTATCTTGCTCTTCATTTTTTTTACAATCTCTGTTCTCTTTGGTCAAAATATTGTCATTCATTTGTACAAAACTGTCAGATTGGCAATATTTAGTAAGAATTGGTGAGGGTTATTACTTTTGTCAGCATGCAGTAATATGTCATTAGTTTTGTAAGGCAGTTGAATGGAACAACAAAATCGTTCAGTGTAACAGCAGTAAATTTTCCCACTATGAATTTTATGTGATTTAGTAGTCTTAATGGTTTGTAACTAGTATGAAAACACATACTCTTGTGTTTTCTCTTTCCACTTCATAAAAATCAGTCAGTTTCAATAGTGGATATTTACATATTGTTGGCCAGAAATTATGTTAATTTTAAATTACACTACCAAAAATTATCACTGAAAAACTTTTCAGTCTGACTTCTAAGTATAGAATATCTTGTTAGACAAACATACTTTTTGGTTTGGTTTTACAGTTTATACAAACTTAGCATAGTATCAGTAATAAGGGCAAGTGACACTTTCTGGGGAAAAAAACCCAACTGATATTTCTCTGCAATTAGTTCTGCTACAGAATAC